TGCATTTTTATTCCTGCGCTTTTTAAGCAGCTCAAGAAACGGGTTAGCTATTGTGACCGCCGCTGGTGATTTAACTGCTCTGAATATTGTACGCCTTCGTACTTACTTTCTTTGTTAGTCGACATTCACCCTTCCCCACATTTACATACTCCATTGTGTTTTTAAATTTTGACCGCTTCACATTGACTTAGCTCTCAACGAGTAAGCCTAGGTCCCTAGGACACGCCTGAAAACGAAAACAGAACAAAGTTTATAGCAAACGACGGGCATACCCTCATTGTAACATTTCATCCTCTAACTCATTGACGAGATGTGGTCTTGGCTATACGATTTCTCTGAAGCTCTCACCGAAAGTGCTTGCACTTCTAGCTTCTTCTCGACAGCTTTTACCGTAACCGCCAATTGCTAGAAACACTCGCATGTAAATGGGGCTGACTACAGCAGTACTGCACGGTGGTCTTTGTACAAATTTATTTGCCCCCAGTGCCAGGTGTCTCTGTTTTCAAATATTCTGCGTCTACCCCATTAACAGTGACGTACGTGAGCTTTAGGTTTTAAGTCCTCAAATCCTTAGAATGTGAGACCACTTTCTATAGCCATATCATATCCATGCTTTTCTAGCAGGAAAACTGAACGAACAGAATGTAATTGTACTATGTAGTCTCCCAGTTTCAGTCCGTTTAGCACGCCGAATCCCATTCCACGATTTTAGCTGAAATATCTGCCAACCTCACTCAAAACGACTCCGGGACTAAGCAGGATGAAACTTTAACAGAACTAATGCAGTAGAGAACAGTAAATAAAGAGTGCATATCTATGAAGCAGACTCAACTCACAGAAACGCTTCACACATACAGAAACGACGCATTCCGTCAATGTTCACGGACACTAACAGCAGGATCCGATTACAGTTGTCCACAGCTACTCAGGGAGCAAGCTGTCCACAAAGCCGTTCCTCTAAGATCTTCAAGCTTTCGCTGATGAACGGAGTGTTATCGCGTGACTTAAAAGGTGCCACAGGAACCCTTCTGCGCAAAGGAGGATCAGAACACTGTACTTCAAGCCAGAGACCGGTCAGTCTCACCGACCTTTTAACCAAAATATTGTGAGGAATAATTAAGAAGGCCATCATGGCATATCTGAGAAACAACAGTCTGTTATTCAGAGCAAAACACGACTTCGAGGGATACCCTCATGTCTGATAAACCCACCATCTTTTCAAGCTGGATCAAGTAGAGAAACAGGACAAAACCTATCCACGTCGTTCCATGCACTTCAACAAAGTTTTTGACAGAGTATCTTACATAAGACCTATCGTAAAACCGACATGTCTTAGGATCCAAAACAGCTCAATAAACTGGGTTAATGAATTCCTCATAAATAGTTTATAGAGAAACAGGATCAACTCAAAACTCTTCCCTGGACAGCTGTACATGGTGGAATGTCACGGGGTACTCAGGCCTCTTATTTATCTTCTATATCAATAAGTTACCAGTGCTTGCCGAACCTCCTCTGGTTCCCTACGCAGATGACTTAAAAATTTAGACACATCACGGAGGTGACAATGAAATTCTCACTCTGTGGAAGCTTCAAAGAGACGAGAAAAATTTACAAGCTAGGCTCTCCTCTTTACTAATGCTAGATGATAATAATAGCGAAGCTTTATTTCAGACAATATGCAAACATATACTACGGAAATTTTCAGCGTACTCAGTTTCAAAATACTTTTTCTTCATAGATGATTAACATGTAGTGCATAGTCTGAATTGTATTACTTTTCGTAGTGCTCCTGCGTGTGAGGAAAGAACCAATTGAGCGCATTTTTTCTTCACTTCCTTCAAGAATTGCTTAGTGTATTGTGGAAGAATAATTGAATATTTATGTGAGTCCATGTATTGGTCATTCGACAAAATTGCACGACTATAAAAATAAAAGAGTAGCCCAGTGATTTAAGCAGGCCGCCCATTTCACATATTCTTTCACCTATGTAGCTTGGAACTTTCCTATCGCTAAAAAGCAGGCAGATAATCCGGAACATGCTGAACTGCTTTACGAAGTCTGCCCTTAGAGCACGGTACCTATTACATGGTACCATTAGAAGTTGGGACTGAGAATTTCGCTTTTTAGCAGTTGACTAGGAGTAAGTGCTACATTACTATTTAAAAGTTTAGTTCTTACTGAATCAAAATTCACCAGTGAACGCCCGGATGATGTCCATTTGAAGGGGTCTCTAGATATCACAGAGCAGAACTATCCTGATGATTTAAGCTACAAGTTAAAAGAAGGTACCATTGCTCATTAATTTATGTTTTCAGTCCTGTAATTCGTTGGCGTACAACTTCTTAAGTAAGCTTACACTTATTTCCCATTCACAGGATTTCACAGCTTCGAAGGTGGGTATTACAGTATTGCTGACAGATGAGATCCCTTTCAAAATCTATTGCTTGAAAATATCAATGATAGGTATCAGATGAATTCCTATTACTCATATTTCACCGAATCTCACTGTCGACATAGATGCATAAAGCGAGCAGAATGTATAAATTTCGATGAACGACTAACGCTCCTGTGTTTCGAATATCAGTTATGTACATTCACTATATGCTCTCTTTATTATTCAATGTGTTTTGAATTTGCACTTCGTTGACGGCATATAGGAGCCATTATCCATAGAAAGTTCTTGAAAACTAAAGGAGGTTTCGTTGGCAATACGAGATTTGATTGAATCTTAACTTAATAATAATCTAAATAAATAACTCAATAAGCTTTAGTTTAATTCTAATGACTTCCAGAAATAAGTATGAAATATTCAGCCACGTTAAAATACTGGTATCTTCCAATTTCCGGGCCCAGAAACACCTGGCAAGGCAGCAAACCTACCAAGTTCAATTTCTTTAATTCACCAGCTAGTTTGTACTTCGCAGAATGCTGGTGGTCTCGCGAAGCAGTTAGCTTTCCCTTAGACACATAACTTGCACAAACGTTTGCATCAGAAAAGTCACTATTCTCGTGGATAATTAGTAACACAGCGAATTATCATATTCACTTGCGCGAAAAACGATTTCTAGGATAGTCGGCAGCATTTACTGGTAAAAAGAGCTTTTATGTCGAAGTTATTTTAAATGAGTTTTGAAGTGAATGTGAGCTTCTTATCTGCAGGTACATGACCCCTAAAATTCACCCAATAGCGAAAATTTCTCCAGGAAGTTTCGACATTTACGGAAAATGTTTTATTTTGGAGCATAAAACTTCACTGACTGCTTCAACTAGTGAAGCCTAAAACTGATCATATCCCCAAGTCTCGCGAAATGGACAATGTCACTTTTTCTTACAACATGGGTACGACAACCCATCATTAGCACAAACACATTACAGGAGCTTTTATCCACTCTCTAATGGCCGCTTGGAATGAGTCTGCTTTGCGAATCAAGGATATAATTGAGTTTCTAAAACAGTAGTGACCAGAGAAAATATTTCGGATTGTAGTGGATGAAACTTAGGGCGCCCAGCTAGCCATACGGACCACCAATACTAAACTGCTTTTTGTATCATCCGCAACCAGGGATGTATACGCGCAACCTAATCTGTAATTAGGTGTTTGATTTTGTGCTGATCGACGCTAGCACAAAAGCACTAGCTTGATAATACTTTATCCGTCATGTAACTAAAGTTTTGCCTGGAACGCATATTTACTATTAACTGATAAGCAAATTGTTCTTTGTGGCGTATCCAGGCAACTATACATATTCTCCAGACTACATTTATTTACCAGAAAATACACTTGAGAAATAATGTAGCCATCTACTAAAGAAAATTACCCATCTCCTGGACATTTCTGAAACATTCCTAAGGCTGGACTACCACCTATTTCACATGGAGCTCCAGTTAATATTTACGCACAAACCGTCCACATTTTAAACACTTCTACTCTTTATATAATTTGGCTTTCTAACAGCCTGTTCAGTTAACGTAAAATAAGAAGCCCACCAGTTTTAAAGACAAGGTCCTATAGTGTTTTCAGAGAAAGCCTATAAGTATCTCAGGGAAAATTTTGTGCTAAATATTCAGAGGAATAATATGGCCACATGCATTCGGATATAGGGTCACAAAGCATTTTAATCACTATTTATCTGCATACGTCTTAGGTCACGGACATGTATAAGAGTTAACCACTAGAACCAACTAATAAGATTATTCGGAAAAATGTTACCTGTAGTAAAATTGCTTAATGAATCATGTATCTCATTTCACGTTTGTCAAACATATTCGGACTTTAAAGCAGACGCTTTTACACTACCTGCAGCACCAATTCTCTCATATAAACACTTTAGAAAAGATGGTCCTATGCCGCATTCTAGTGGTTGGTAATAAAACAGGATCAAAAGGATAGAAGTCAGAATGATGGATGTGGATTTCTTCATCGATGAAACATTAAAAGTGTCTGATATTCTATAGGGAGGGTAAGGTTGAGTATATATTGAGGACATAGTGGTATCGAAAGTCCTCAATGAAGAAACAATAAAATTCAGGCAATATTTGGGGTGCATGTACGCTGCTGGTCTGAACAGCCAAATTCAGAGGTGGGAATAAGGAGATAATCCTGCCTTCAGTTTTCTGTCCGTTTCTGTCTCTTACTCTGAATAATTTCACTAATTATATCTATTATTAGCATTATTATTATTACCATCTCTTTTCTCTTGTCGACGATACCGAAGGACTAACTGGCGAAAGGATCAACTCCAATCACAGTAGTAGCAGTCTTAACACACCTCATACTACAAACCACATATAATTAATCCCAGCACTACTCCCTTTGGAGTCAACCTAAGCTACGACAGTCGAGTCGCAAGACAAGCTACGCAGAAGTTTACCGAAGATCAGGAACCTATACCTTACAAATCAAGAAGCGAGCACAAAGAAATCAAATTGATTTATACTAGCTCGTAAAAACGATATTGGATATTGGAAGTGAGCATTTTTAGCTGAGGTGCGCATTATAAAGCTAGCGCTACCCTTGAGTTTGTAAGTTTGTCTTCAGTCTTCCTTATCTAATAATTTCATACAGTGTGTTTCGACTCTGGGAATGTCTTAAATTTAAATTGTAAGAAGTTTGCAGAGTTGAGTAAATTCAACTGAGTCGTGATGAAAATATAAAACTCCCCAATGAAGGCAGTTCCCAGTACAGACTAAATCATCTTCAGAGTCTATATAATCATACTTATACCGACCAAAAGCATATGGCAGTCTTTTATTGAGTAATAATAGGATGACGATTAGTACACTTATTTAGATGAAGTCTCTAAAATAAGAAAATGGGTAGTAGTCTAGGACACATGTGTCCTAGGAAAAAGTTTGAAATTCGATATAGCGAAGAATTTTTTTCAACGAGTAGTTAGTTGATTGTCCACCAGAAAAATAGGTAGATAGTGACTAAAAATAACCGCACGCTGCATGACGTTCAACCAATAAAATTTACAAGCACATATACCTTAGTTCGGAGTGCATGTTTATCAACGCATTCTCCGTTGTTGTGAAAATTTTATTCGGATGCACCACCGATGTCTTTTCAAATCCTCGATATCTTGTTGCGGATGATAAAAACTCCAACTATAGCAACTAAATAATTTAACATTAGAACTTATTTTATGTGATAACTTTTTATGAGAAACATCCGTTCGCAGCTTATTCCTTTGGTATTCTATAAAAACTCGATTCCAAAATGAATTTAAGCACAGGTCATTGAAACCATAGGATTGTACATCAGTTCACTTCAGACTGGGTATTAAATCTGTTAGTGCCAACACCAAAAGCGATAAAAAACCTTCGCAGGTGTAAATACTCTAATACTCAGCTTTAGTGTATGCATATGTAAGTGCTCATCATTAAAAGTCTTCCGTGTCGGATTTATTTGAACTTGGTCTGAATGCTTAACTTTCATCTCATTTCTTAATCGACATTTTTTATTTGTTTATTTCATACAATTGTTTTAGGTATCCAACTTATCGAGATTCTTTAGATATGAGTTTGATTAGATAATAAATGCAAAATTATACCGTTGGAAGCCATGTATTGAGAACAGTATAGAAGATAACTAACTTATTGATGAATTCCACAACTGCTTTTATTATTGTATCATATTATTCTCATTAGTTTACTTTTGTTTTGTGTTCAAGAAAATACACATAAATCCTCCATTGAGGACGTTTGTCGATGAGCTAATTTTCATTAATATATATGTGAGTAAGCTTCTGTGTTTTCTAGAGACAATGATCGGGGGTTATTATTTGCATGTATAAACATTTTGAATTTATTACGTTTTAAATGGAGCTTCAAAACTGCTAGTATATTTCTGTGTAGATTCTGATTTCACCATTACTTCAATTCAACTACATGTTGGACTTAGGACAAAGTTACTTGCAAATGTCACTTTTGGTTATCTATTGTTAACTCAATGCCTTCAATCTAATCTTTCTTATTTGCAGGTTCTGCACAATACCAGGGATAAATTATTTCTAAAATTCATTCACTGTTTGATTTTAAGTGAGCCTGAGAGTTATATAATTTTGGTATTTATCAGATTATGTGCATTCCATTGTTTATCTTAAACCCATATTTCTAGTATCTTCCCTTGCACTGCTGACTCCAATGCATCAGCTTGTAAATTCTACATAAATCGTCAATGAATAGTAGTTTTGTCATTGGTAGTGATAGTTTCACCTCAAAGCTGCTGAAATGTTGGACGGAATTTCTGTCGGTTCGCAAATCACTTCGTGGAAAACCTGATAACCAAAATTATTCAGAAATTTCAAAAGAATTCACGGAAGCTGAAATTACAAATGTTATTCGTGTGACGCTTAATGACCTTATTTCACCCTCTCACACCAAGTCCGTAGACTTCCATGAAGTAATAGCCTACTATTTTTTCAAAGCTCTGCTTATTTCTGATAAAAACATAGAAAATGAATCAGGAGATTCAGTAACAGATGAAATTCAAGAAAACTCTCAAACAGTCATCCTTTTCAGGGTAAGTAAATAGTCTATTCGTCCCTGAGTAATTTCCATTTTAGGAGACATTTTATACGGAACTCTTTTCCAAAATTGATTGTATCCTCGAGATACTCTTGAAAGAAGTGTCGAGCAATGCAATGGAACATCCAGTTAGCTGCATGTGCGTTGCTATTGGACTTATTTCTGATTTAATAAAGGACCCTTCTTTAACTTCTCTATCACTTTATCATCTCGAAGAAATGTGGCATAAATTTGGTGCGTTTATTAAAAAGCTTATTGAACATATTGTAAGTATAAATAAAGAAGTTGCAGTTTTATTGTTGGTAAATACCATTATTCATAAACCTTTATAATTTGTGGCTAGATCAGCCACCGTCCACAGCAAATTATATATATATATATATCCCATTCATCAGTTTCAGTGAAATAAGTTTGCGAATCTTCTAAAATGGTATTCTTATATTTGTTTAAGTCGGTTTTGTTTTTCCTGTTGGTTGGTTGTACGGAATTTTTCGGTCACTGTTGACATGTTGATTCCTAGTGCGGACTCTTCGACGATATTCAACTAATCAATGGGAAAAATAAAATTGATTTAAAGAACTAATAAATGATACTCATCGCACATGAGGTAACTCTTGTGGTCTAGTGAATAACGCTTTTTCGTTTGAAATGATGGGTACTGGGTCTGAGTCTGGGTGGAAAAATCATCTCCCATTGGAGATTGCACATGCATCTAACCGATAAGTCCCATATAGGATTCAGTGAGCATCCTGGATTTTATTGCTAGTCATTACCCACCAAGTAATAATAAAATAACTTCATATTCAGCCATGTTTATCAACTAAAAACAAAGGCTGGGAAACCTCACACAGAATTCTTAACAAGGCAGGAATAAAAGTGGCATTTAAACCCACAAACTCAACTGGAAACTAGCTTTGTCGGTTAAAGGATCCTGTAGAGCCATTAAAACTAAACAATTTAGTTTATCTAGTATCCTGATGGAATGATTGTGAGGTCAAATGCATAGGTCAGAGTAGTAGAACAGGTGCAGTCAGACTAGCCGAACATAAAAACCTTGCAAAATCTAGATTGGTTGACCCAAATAAAATAAGAAATCTAGAGAATAGTTCAGCTATACCACTTACTACATGCAGTTACACACAACCATACAATAGGATGGGATAGGATGACAGTTTTAAAATCTAATGTCACAGGGTATAGGGAGAGATTGATAAAGAAGCTTTGTCTATCAAATCAACTGCAAATACATGTAATAGGAATGATTCAACACCTGTCCCTGATATGTGAAAAATTCTATTACCCTAACGACGACAAGTAGAAGAGAGCAAAGAAAATTATAAAACTCGAGTTTTGAAGTCGTGTGTTTGTAATAGAAATGATTATGAACAATAAATTTTGTTCGAAACGTCATCCAGTAAATAATAATGCTGTTTCACTGTGATACATTTAATAAATAAACTAATATGGAATTGGATGGGGGATTTCATCATGAACTGACATCAGTTAGAGAACCACTAGAAAACCTGGGAGTACTGGACAGCTGTTTCGTCCTGGTTTGGGACTCTTCATCAGTACACACTGATGTCAGCTCATGATGAAACCCTCCATTCAATCAAACAAAATCCTTACAAAACCAATACTTGATAATATGGAATTACTTACTACCACAGTGCCCATGTTTTACACATATATGAAAACTTCATCACTTCGTATAGCTTCATATATAGTTGACTTGAACTTTTTTATATTTAAAAGAAAAGCCAATACGTCCAATCATGTATTTGTTTCAGACTTGACCATAATGCACATGTGATATAAATTAAAAATGTATAGGCCAGCGAAGACTATTCTTTTCGTAACTTCTCGTCAAAGCTGTACGGTTAAATAATATTTCGAAAAGGTCATGGAAAATCCCAGTGCAGGTCAATTATTTATATCATTTAGTAACAAAGACTATTTTTGACTTTTACGTTAATTCATTTTCACGCATTTCTATCCTCTTTCTTTTCAATCTCCCAGCTTTAAAATATAGTTTATAGATATTCTGAATCTCATACTCTTATGAACAGTATTCCGGTTGTTGAGTGCTTACAGTTTTATCATAATAACCATTTGTGAATGCTATTCATCACTTAATGTTTTCTGACTATATGTGCGGTCCACTTAATAAATTTCCCTAATTTATCCAAGTTTTCTTCCTGGCATGTGACTAAGTGTTTTATTACCGAGTGGTATTGATAATTGCCTACTACTTAGTTGTACAGCCATGAATAGAGGTTACAAGAAAGTATATTTTTTCTAACCTATCTTTTTAGTTCATAACGACCATAATACTTAACTGGTTTTGGATTTCGCCGACGTAATAAGCATTAACACAACCGACCAGAACTGAGGACAACAAAAGACAAGAAAATCAATTTAACTTATCACTTTTTATATTGGAAACTATAGTGTCTAATAGGCGTGGCTTTCGTAGGATTTCTAAAAATAATCACTAAATATATAATGTAAATAGTCCAGTCATTAGTAAAAATGATTTTGTAGCATGAAAACGTTGGTCTGAATAAATACAGCTGTAGGGAAATAAATGTATTTTAAGTAGTTCCATTAGGTTGTTTCTGGGAGATGGAAGTGATTAGTGTGAAAATAGTTTTTATCACAATATTGTAGTCAATTTTGAAATCATCTTTAGTCTTATGTGACGACTCAGCTTATGTATCTTTCTCATCTGAGACTACATTGTATAATGTGGTAGTGCATATAACTTACTAATTGGTTTATAGAGTGGTTGGAAACCACACATCAAATAGCAGTGCTTACTAACCAGGTTGAATGATCTAAACACCGGAGAGTCATTTCTCTCGTTTGGGACCGAACTCGTTCGTAATGTACCTAATTTGGCTGTGGTCAGCAAGTTCACTCAGTTTCTACTACCAATTTCTGGCAAGCTACTTTGGCGAACTTGTAATGGATGGAATCAAATTCATAGTTTGCAAGTTACACAATTTGAGATGAGTTGAATGAAATTGGGTAGATCACTGATGAGCGAAATGGTTATCCGGAGTTTATATCGCTTCGATGTGGCTACCAAGAACTACTGTTTGGTATGAATGGTTGTTTCCTACAGTTCATTTCAGTCAATCAGTAAGTAGTATGCACCGTCCGCTGTTTCACTTGCTTTTTTTTTGTCATTTATCATATCAAACAGATGATATATTTCGTTTCCGAAAGAATCTGCGGAGATTTCTCACTTCGAACTGTGTAATTTGCAAAAGATGGATATGACTGCATCTTACGACCAGAATGTTCATACGGTAGTTCACCTACGCACTAGAGACTCTACCTGTGTAACAGTATTAAAATAAATACACCTCGAAAGCCATTTTTAGATGTACATGCATAGCTCACGTGTAAGTCATGTAGTTTTCAGACTATGAATTGTGGATTCAAATCTCACTGCACTTAATCTCACTTAATTCGACCGGCATCACCGATTACTGCTTCTAGTTTTCACATAAAATGTGGCTCATTACTTAGTATATGAAAAAAATCGAATAATTGACTTGAATTATATTTATTCACTTATTGTATCCTAGTACCACATTAACTTTTCTTTTATTATTCCTTTATGGAAATTGAGAATTACCATTCGAATAAAGCAGTAGTAACACATTAAGCAGCAAAGAGGGAGCCTTGTTAATGCGGCTTTTAACCTCAATTGGTTATGTCATCTTTTATTTTCCTTCACGTTCCCCAGTTGAACATATGGCTTCAAGCTCGTGACTTGAAGATTCTGTAGCAGTGTTTATTTGACAGGATGGGGTTGCTAGCCTCATGCCTGACCTTTCCTCTTCACCAGCATTATTTCTGCCTTAGTGAGGTAAAGGAGTGTGTGTAGTGGCCGGGGATCGAATCCCAGACCGTGTGCAAGCGTCCTAACCACTATGCCACCGACGCACAATGTCATCGTTTACTAAATGTAAATGTTCATTTGTCTTCACTCTTACTTAGTTGCATCATCGATTATTAGACATCGTGCTTTACATGTCTGATATCTAACTGAATAAGCTTATTTCACAATATGTTTCTAATGACTCACGAAATCTTGGTGTTTTATTGCTACCCGTTCTCCCTACTTTTTGTTTTATCCGAGGAGCTTCAATCACATTAACCATACAAGTACAGCAGTAATTTTTTGCCTTGCTAACCTGACGTTTGGATTTATGTATATACCATCATGGTGGCCTGGTGGATAGTGTCAGTAGTTCAACGGTGGTGTGCTTTGCCAACTACACATGTGATCCGGGGTTCCATTCCCATCCAGTCCACTCGTAAACCTCACCTAACCGGTAGTAAGGCCAGAGAGGAGGGAAGAGCGGGTATAGGGCCGGCTGCTCTACCCCGTAAAAATAACATCAGCATGACTACTGAAACTTTAAGGCATCAGACCTAAAGCCGTAGATTTCGCTCCGAAGGCAATGAATAAAAGAAGTGTACCACAGTCAATCTTAATTCTCTTCCCACTTGTATCTCCAATGAACTAGATAAAGTATGTTAAAGTTGTAGTAAAACTATCAACTTTCATGATTAAGGTCCTGTGCAGCAGACAAGAATTGATAGCATAAGAAAGGATCCTATTTGTCCTGCTCCATATGTTGTTATTGATTTGTTCAAATTCAATAAAGGGTATTCATGTATGAAATAATTACTATGTCTAATCACTATATCAATTACTATCTTAAGTACAAATAGTACATACGAAATATATTCTTAAATCTGGTTTGTTAGTAACCCATTTCCTTTAAAATGAGTCTTGTATGTCATATTTTTCTGAGTACTTGTGTACTGTATTTATTTATCTCACTTTTCACCCTTTTCATTCAAACTGTTTCTGAGTGGCCTTGTAATTACTCAAGAAGATAACCACATCTGTATTGTGGAAACCAGCATCATACTTTTCGTAAACGTGACATTTTTATTTCCTCCTGATATTCTTACCTCCTCCTACGGGATAGCCGCCATCAGATTTAAATGTTCATGAACCAGTGTCTTTTATTATCAGCTTATTGATGTGTAATGATCGTTCATTCATTATTATTATTCGTTCATTTTCTTTTAGATGGTAAATCAAAACGGTATTGCGAATAATGATCAAGATGTTTTCCTATTCGATATTTTTCGTCTCTGGAGGTCATCTCTAAAGGCATACGCTGAGATTGATAATCGAGGAATGAAGGGTACAGAGACTTCTGCATTTACTGTAAGTATTCTATCTGTCCTGTAGAATGAATATTTTTACCGTCACAACAGTTAATCCACAGAAGTTTCCAGTAATTATGCAGGTTTTATAAGTGTATCTTACCTCACTTACTGTACTAGCCGGTTCCAAGTCTTGAAAAAGAGGGAAGGCTAGGTATGGGTCTAGCGATCCTACCCCAACAAATTAACCCAGTCATCACTGCAACTTCAACACACGATAAAAATGTTTAAAAGAGAATAAACTTATTTTCTCCAGAACCGCAAAGATAAAGTGACGTGGGCTGGTGGAAGTTTTCGGGAAGCCAGTCAGTCGATGTGTCTTCTCCCGAGTAAAGCAAAAATAAACCCGGAGACATATAATGTCTTCCCAATGTTTGAAGCTGGGAAGGCTGCTCAGATTGTGAAAGAAATGAGAAGATATCGTTTATATATGCATGGAATCTGTAAAAGCAGAAAATAAATAGAAGTGGTTTCTCCAAATTGAAACTAACTGAAGAGTTGATAATCTCCTCCGGTCACACAACCGATAACCGAGAACACACTGAGTCAATGGCTATCATGATGTTACTAATAGCATACAGGCGTTTATACAGTTGAGTGACGTTGAGCGCCAGGTCCTCGAGTGGAACCTGAATGGGAGACGACTATTCATCTGGGTGTGGATGCTATGGAGGAGATGATGTGAGGATGAAATGAAAGCTTATAGGAAATCATGGAGCCAGATGGAAAATGGACTGCAGAGAAACGGAAATGTACTGCTGGAACCCTGTTTTCCACTCAGAACTCAAGGAGATAATAATAATAGGTGTATATTCATTTCTAGTTATCACAAGATGATTTATTAGCAATATTTATTATAAGCTTGTCGACAATCCAGTTTTTAGATATTCTGACCATAAATATATTAATGTCTGTTTTGCTTCATTTCCCCAAAAATATCCTTAAAGTCATAGTTACGGTGTAGTGGTAAGCATTCTTATTCCCAATGATATATGATAGAAGAGGATGAATAATTTACTTTTACTTCACTTCTACCTATTTATCCTGATTGACAGTTAAAAGCCTGACACCTGATACACATCGTACTAATCCTTATAAAATCTGAAGAATTAAGGCGCCACACTGAGAAGACAAATATCGAATACAATTGATGAATAGGTGCATGAAAAGGAAGATAAATACATTCCAAACACTATAGTCCAGTTTAAAGTGTTGTATATATGGTTTACAACCACACATTTTATACAGTTAGTCAGAACTAGAATTCACTATATGGTGATGAATATATATATATATATATATATATATATATATATATCATTGATGATTATAAAACTACTATTACAAAAATTTCTATTCAAAACACCAAAAGACTGAGCTATGAATACCATATTAGTTTGTTTATTAGATGTATCACACAGTGAAACAGTATTATTTACTGGATGACGTTTCGAGCAAGATTTATGGCTCATAATCATATCACTTGTAATCACACGACTTTGAAACTTGAGTTTAATAGTTTTCTTTGTCTTCTCCTATTTATGGTCGTATGGGTAGTAGAATTTTCCAGATGTCCGGCTGGACAGGTGTTTAATCATTCCTTTTGCATGTATTTGCAGTTGACTGGATAAACAAAGCTTATGTAATCAATCTCTCCCCATACCCTATGACATTAGATTTTAAAACTGTCATTCTATCCCATCCTATTGTATGGTTGTGTGTGATTGTGATTTTTAAAATCTAATGTCACAGGGTATAGGGAGAGATTGATAACAGAAGCTTTGTTTATCGAATCAACTGCGAATACATGTAATAGGAATGATTCAACACCTGTCCCAGATATCTAGAAAGTTCTACTACCCCAACGACGACAAATAGGAGAGGACAAAGAAAACTATAAAATTCAAGTTTCGAAGTCGTGTGTTTGTAATAGAAATGATTATGAACAATAAATTTTGTTCGAAACGTCATCCAGTAAATAATGCTGTTTCACTGTGTGATACATCCAATAGACAAACAAACATGGAATTACTTCCTACCACAGTGCCCAAGTTTTACACATATATTAATATGAACTGTGAATATTCTTTTCGATAACTTCTTCATTTATCTCTACAATTATAATATTTGAAGAGAAATTACTGTTGACAACACTGATGTGCTTTCCTAAATCGTACCGAGTTGTAGAAATCAGTGAAATTATTGTTCAAAAGCAATGTGTAAATGACAAAAGCGTAAACATGTGAATATCAGATAAAATTAAGAAAATTTCTGCTACAATTTTAATATGTGACGTGACACAGTTTGACAGAAAGCAGCTAAAAGTGAAATCAATATTTTAAGTCAATGACTGCGCAGATATAGAAGTGTTTATTCCTCAAATCTAGATTTAGTTAACCTTGTGGACATGAAATAACCTGATTGGACAGTCAGTGCCAACCAATCAGAACAATTTATTTTTTCTGATGTGGCCGAATTTCAATGTGGCTAAGAATGTATAAATATGTACTCTTCCTTAATAAAAAGTCTTTTACCAAGTCTCATATATATATATATATATATATATATATATATATATATATATATATATATATATATATATATATGAACATAGAGAAAACAGAGTTGATGAAAATTCCTGGCCAACAGCAACAACAACAAAAGATAATCAGCATAAATGGGGGAAACCTGAAAGAAATAACCCCCTTTACCTACCTGGGAAGCATCGTTTCAACTACAGGCGTAACTCACGAGGATATCAAAGCAGGGATCGGAAAAGCAAGACAAGCTTTCATTACTCTTAAGTCTGTGTGGAGGTCAACAGCACTCAGAATCAAAAAAAAGATCAGGATTTTCAAATACAATGTGAAGTCAGTGCTACTATATGGATCAGAGACTTATCGCGTCATAAAGAGCATCTCAAACAAACTTCAGACCTTCATTAACAGTTGTCTTCGCCCAATACTCAAAATCAGATGGCCGGCCAGAAGAGATCAGCAACACGGATCTCTGGGAGCGAACCAAAACAGCAGGGATCGATTTTGAAACAAATAGGCAGGAAGAAATGGAGATGGATTGGCCATACTCTGAGGAAACCATCTAGTGACATCACTAGACAAGCCCTCGAGTGGAACCCGGAAGGGAAGCGGCGGGTTGGTCGTCCAAGGGTGACTCGGAGGAGGTCATGTGAAGAGGAGATGAAAGCATGTGGGCAGACTTGGAGCGGGGTGAAAAAGTTGGCAGAAAACCAAAGGCAATGGAGACGTGTGACTGAAGCCCAATGTTCCTCTAGGAATTAAAGGAAATAATATATATATATAAGTTATGCTGCTAGGCATCATAATTATTGTTCCCTTCGGTTCTGAGTGGAATATAGAGTTTCAACATCACATCTCCTCTTTGTCCTGTCCTATGCAGTCATCTTTAGCTGAACCCACGATTACCTATAATCTTTCATATCCTCCTTTAACAAGCTTCTCCATTTCACACTCGGATGCCCCACTCGTCGTTTTCTACTCGGGTTCCAACCGAGTGATAGTCTGGCACTCGATGTCACCTAACGATCTCCTCAGAGAATGTCCAATCCGTCTCCACTTACTTCTGCATATCTTTTGAGCAATCAGTTCTTGGTTGGTTCGTTCCCTGAGTTTCTTGTTGCTGACTCTTTCTCGTCGTCTGGTCTTCAGTATCGAGAGAAAGCAACTGTCGGTAAGAGTCTGCAGTATGTTGGAAATGTCTTTCCTAACGCGCCAAGTTTCTGACATATATATGTAAGGACTGACTGACTTCAGGTTTGTATTGAAAATCCGAAGCTTGTTTTTTATGCTAAGTGCAGAAGATTTCCCAACTGGTTTCAGGTTGATGAAGGCGTACCTTACCTTTCCGATTCTAGTTAGCTTTGACATTTTCGTCTGTTCCTCCTGTGATTGAAACGATGCTTCCTAGATAAGTGAAGGAAGTAACCTCTGTCAGATTTCTCCCGTCGATGGTGATTGGTGCTGGTTGTTGCTGTTGCTGCTGTCGGTTGGTTATCTTCATCACCTCCGTCTTCTGTATGTTCACCTGAAATCCAGTCTTTTCTGCTTATTCTACCAGTTGGTTGGTTTTCGCCTGTTATTCTGCAACTTTGTGTGACATTAAACATAAATCGTCCGCGAAATTCGGATTTTGTGGAGTCTTCTTGTCGGTCCAGCGTATATATGTGTTCTTGCACCCCACACTCTGACACAAAATCCAGTTTACCACAGTTAGGAATGTCGTCGGTAACAGTAGATAGGCAGCCCTGTCTTACTCCTATATTCACTTCAAACGTTTCGCTGAGGTTTCCGCTGTGAATCATCTGACACACGGCATTGTCATATAGCTGCTGAATGAGGTAAATAAAGATTATAGGTACTCCATAGTGTTGAGGGAGTTTCCAAATTACTTCCCGATCAACCCTATCGAAGACCTTTACGAAGTCGATGAAGTTAAGGCAAAGATTTAACTGCCATTCTATGCTCTGTTCGATGACGATGCGTAAAGCTGCAATTTGATCTGCACTTGTATCCTGAATCCCGTTTTTTTCCAGTCGGATCTCTGCATCCCGTGCGAAAATTTCATATCGTCAATGATTAAATCCACACCCAGGTAACTTGGATAATCCTTAAAAGAATGCTGTAGCTGGTTAACCGTAAAACACATTTTTGATTTTCGCTCAGTGTCAATGTCCACTTATTAATTAAATTAAATTGAATTGGTATAACAGAAACTATTTACTTCATCTAATTTGTTTATAAAATACTCTCTGTGTATTAGTTAGTATTCTTGTTCGTCTGTTATGTATGTTAAACATCAAGTAGAAACATGTGATAGATAAAGATAAATGTACAATAGAACCTTAATAAGGAATCAGAAAAGTTATTTATTCGTTTTTGTTATTTTTCTTTGTCTACTTATCTTACTTACTTATTTGATAATCGAATGATATTACCATGACTCATTTCGTCCATACTAACAATCAGACGATCGATAATAATTGTGTAAAAAAACCTACAGAATACATTTATCTCTATCTAGTTTGTACAAATTCTACTTTCATGCATAAACGTGAAATAAGTGTTTGTGGAGAAAATGACATAAACTAGAAAGAAAAAAAACAATAAATCTATTTACACATTGATTGTGTTAATAAATGATTTCAGTGTGCAGGTAAATTAAGGCATAATTTAGAAAAAAAGTTATGCCATTTTTGTTATGCAGAAATTCATTTTAAACTAGAGTCGACAATTCTGTCTGTCTGTTTTCAACATAGAACTTTGCACAAATGTGCGGAAGTTCAAGTCGCCACACTCCATGTACCACACAAAGCAACAGAAGAAAGTACAAGAAAAGAATAATAGAGACAGTAAACAGAGGTGTGAGACAAAGGGATAGTGATAACGAAGAACAATATAGTTTCACTTGAAATCATAAGTTACAAGGAGTGGATGCATCTGTGCCTGCCATTGAGAACGATTTTGAGCCATATCGCCAATTGTTTCCAACCATTGTTTTTTGCCGTCCCGAGGACCCCAACCAGTTAGGAAGTCTACACCTTCCTACGTGGCTTAAAATAACCGTTGTAGATTTCATTGACTGGTGCCATGTTTTGGTTTGACCGCTGCCAGCTCTTTTCCAGCTAAATAGTAATTTCTGTGAATACGACAACTACTGATGCATGTTTCAATCTGAGATAGAACGTTAGTCATCTATAAAATTAAAATGTGTGTAATGAAACAAGAAAGTCAGATTCATGGGGTTTCCGATGGCTGATTTTTTTTTAACATTGTGGCGAATTGAACTACCGCACATATGTGCAATGTTCTATGTCGAAAGCAGACTGACAGAGAGATTTTTTAACATCCACTCCTGTTATTATAATAGTTTAGTTGTAGTATTTATGTGCGTCGGTGGCACAGTGGTTAGGACTCTCGCCGACCATGCACATGGTCCGGGGTTCGAGCCCACGCCGACGCACACCTGATATCTATGGTCGGCCTGCGAATTTTGGGCTACCGATATCCACGCTGAAAATTCCATACTTGTACCAAAAATACGGTGTGGAATCAAGCTGTAATAAAAAATAAAATCTATATACTACTAATCGACTGAAATGAGTAGTTGCATACCACTCATATCAGCTAAGTAGTGTTTGCTAGCCAGATTAAGGTGATCTAGCTACCGGACGGCCATTTCTCTTGTTTGGGGGTCGAGGCAATCAGAGGCGGTGTACCCGGTCGGACTCAGCTCGAAGAACTAAATCAAATCAAACCACTACCACTGGTTGTTAAGGGTGCTAAGCAACTACTCATCTAAATCAATTAGTAGCATGTAGTTTTGTGCAAATACAGTCGTTTTCTTGATTGCCATTTATGGTATTAAGTAGATCACACATATTGTTATCGGAATAACTTGCTTTCCAAATGAAAATGCGATAAAATTTTACCAGTCATACTGTGTAGATTGCAAATTGTGAATTTGATCTATAGTTGCAGTATGTTTCGCAAGAAATGATCCTACTGTGACTGTACAAAACCAGGGACGTTTTTTGACGATATTATACTATTATTCTCTTGACAAGTAGTAATAAGATTACGTATACATGTTTCAAATGTATGCATGTACACTCCATTAAATAATAATAATAATAACGATATAGATATAAGTATGACGTTTGTTCAATTGTAAATATCACCTACCTTGGTAATGAGACGTTAGCTATCACGTGTCAAGCTTGCAGAACACAAAACAGTCGACATACCCGTAGATTTTACCGTTTTTGTTGATATTTATGTAAAATAAGAAGTCTATTTAAGATTAGACCATTAAGGAATAGAGACCCTAGATTCACAAAAATGACTGATGTTTGTTTGTTTTATTTCTAAACCTTAATATATATATATATATATTCAAGTTGGATATAAAAAGGATTCGATCAATGTGTCTAGCTAAAAACGTATGCCTTCATCAGCAGTTATGCAGATATACTGGTATATTTCCAGGTCAAGTCAAGTTACATTCTTATCAGCGTATTTAATATATCATATGTGTGCAACACATGTGTGACGATAAATTATCTTTCTATTCTACCACTTCTTTTGAGAATCAGTCGCATCATTTTTATTCATTGATTGATTCGTTGGTTGGTTGTGTTAGATTGAAAATAAAAATTATTTTTCATAACTGGACTGTGATTCTTACTGAAAACAACAACAGCACTTGTTCTTATGTTGTTTTTTTTATCATGGATTGTTGTTAGTTAGAGAACCATTTGTAGACTAAGGAGTACTAATCAAATTTGAAACCAACCAATCAAATCCCTACAACCTGACACTTGAAAATTAATCTAATGCTCACTGAGTGATTAACTACAAGATGAAGTTCCCTGAAGTTCTGGTGAGAAGTCGTGACCATTGGTATCCACTAGGACAAATATACCCCCCCCCCCCCCGATGACACTAGCTGGCTATGGCGCTAAAATCGGCAAGTTGATAAAAGTTATAATCCATGGATTATGGGATTCCGTCTCAATGGTGGAGCGTTCAGTAAGATCATCTCGTAATTTGTAGGTCCTGGGTTCGATCCCTGGTGGTTTCATGGGTGCGTGCGGATGAAGAGTAGAGTGAAACAAGCTGTTCAGTACACCCTGGTTTCTGATGGATCTCTGACTGAAGTCATTCAGTGGTGAAACTACAAACCTATTTTCCTTTCTTGTTTTCTATTCAACTCAACAGGACTCTCGGTTACCATGCACATGGTCCGGGGTTCGATCCCCTACCGACGCACACCTGATATCTATGGTTGACCTGCAAAACTTTTGGCTACCGATATCACATGCTGAAAATTCCATACTTGTACCAAAAAATACTGTGTGGAATCAAGCTGAAATCAAAAAAATTTATCAATGGAAATAATTATGTGAAGTATTCTTGTGTATTTAACGAGAGGATTATTAGTTCTTTGCATCTACAATAATTATTCGTTTTATTTCTATTTAATTAATTACTTGATTAGTTAAATTCAACAGTATAGGGTTTGGTTTTTCGCTAACTAGATTAACTCTTTCAATTGAACAGGGATATTTCATTGAATTTTTGATTTTCCTGTCGATTGATTGGACCGAAGTGCTCGGTCTCAGGTTGACATTTCGGCCTCTTGTGCAGATGCTTCGACGGTGTCTGGGCATTTAATTCGTATTTCATTGGTGGATGGTGACTTTTAATGAGTATACAATCTGTTTCATTCTTTTCTGTTAGGTGTTACTGGGTGTCATACATGTCTGTTTAGTCGAACATTTTAAAGTATATTCTAAGTATTCTATTGAAGTGCCATCATCATTATGGTCAAACTATCTTGTACGTAGCCTACGTACCGTGTATAAACTTATAAATAATTCAGATCATTTATGGATTCATAATTTATATCCTACTGCGGATACAATTATATATGAATTATTATCGTCATATACTTCTTGTCCAAGCAAGTCCAACACTTCTAGTCCTTGTTCTTCAGTGTCTCACAACAGTCTAGTCAATTATTTAACTTCTATAATGAAAACTCGAAAAGCTCAAGGTTTCAATGAGGTAGCTGTATTTGAAATAGACCCAGGATTACCACTGCGTATTATAATTCTTTGTGGACTGGAAAGCATTTCAAAATTAGGTAAGTCTTTTGTTTTCTCATGATGTTTACTACCGCGTTTTTGTCATGATATCAGTGTCATCGAACGGAACGATAGAGCGGACAGTAATTCATTCTAAAGTTAATAAATTTTTTCAAGTATTGGTTTTGTAGGGATTTATTTTGATTGGATGGAGGATTTCATCATGAGCTGACATCAGTTAGAGAACCACTGGAAAAACTGGGAGTACTGGACAGTTGTTTTGTCCTAGTTTGGGACTCTTCATCAGTACGCACCCACCTGAGTTTGAACCCACCCAGGACCTTCTGGTTACAAGGCTAGCGAGCTCGTAGACCGTTGAGCCACTGGGACCCGATCCAGTGACCCAGGAAGTTTTGCTGGCTTCCCCTTATTGTCGTCAGATAGTTGGAGACAGTCGACAGGGAGTCTTAGGTCTAGGTTTCGTGCTTTTTGACACTCTTCAGAAAGGCGTATCTACTGCAGTTGGAGGCACTATCACAGAGCCATTTAGGTTGACGATTGACTGATAGAATTCAGTCTGCACACTAGCTCCAAGGACTAGACGCATGACATCATCTACCGCCTAGTGTCCAGTCAAAGGTCTTGTCTTATGTAAACTAGGTAATTTAGCTAACATCATCTGAATATTATAAACATGATACAACTGTAGCGTATATATTTCTTGCAAGTAGATAAACTTCGCGTTCTGACATCCTTGACTAAATATATTAAGAAATCGATCTTTTCATGATTTGTCGTTGTGTAAGTTGTCAATAAAATGCCACACTCAAGGTATGTTTGTGCATTACCTTCAGATACTCTGTCAATTGTAACACATTTGAAACTAAATCTATGCTGTAGGCAGTACAAAATAAGTTAGAGTGATTAACAATCGTGATGTGTGCGTGTGTGTGTTAAGACGTGAATAGTGTTCATGCTACTATTATGAATTTAAAGTCTCCAGTCATCGATTAAGATTCACAGATATGCTGGATTAGTGTCACTTTGAGTTTGCTTAACTTTTGTCTTTTTTTACCACTAAATTTAACCTCATTTTGATGAAACACTGAACATCAGGTTAAACGATGGTTCAGTGTCTATTACATCTTCATGACCTACTCTAATAATTTTTTACAACACCATTAACCAACTTAGCCTAGAAACTTCGACTTACGTGTGTAGGATAAAAGAGAATTTATATGCTCATCTGAGACATCCTACTTCGTCGGTGTGAAAGCAATAAAAAAGTGACAGAAATCAAAATCCCGGACACATGGTTCAAAAAACCTGTAAAGATGCACATACACTTAATAACAAAAGCTGTCGGAAACTGTTGTGCATTTGTATACAGGAAGGTAAAGTAGTGTGAGTATCGCCTTCCGTGTCATTATAAAAGGTGACGAATTTTCTCGATATAAAGAAAACCTTCACGATTCAGCTATCTGGTACAGATAGGAAAAAAGAAACCAAAACTAAAAATAATCACTTATACTCTACACTGCATATAACCGCCGTTGAAGAGTTGAAGTGAGAAGAACCTCACAATGTGCTTAACGTATCTGCGGGTGGGGGGTGGTTATGACACAAGCTCTTGCATAACGCTTGACTGACTGTATATACATTTATATTTCGATACGATTGTATTCTCCTAGCTAGGTGATTCGGTTGCTAGTGTTTCGTTGTGCTTCGGGACAGCATCTGCAGCGCAAGCTTCAATATGCATGGATTTATGTTGTATGACCGTGCTGTTGAAAATTCCACATTGCATCAGGTTTATTGTCTACAATAAAGCCATTATTATCATTATTATTATTATTTGACCAATGTGGTACTTATTACAATCCATGCAATTTATTTTGTAGATAGTGTTTCCTTGTCTTCTTTTACTGTTGGGTCTTATTGTCTGTATAGTACTGAATTAAACGATTGTGTTGATTTGTTTGCTATATATATTTCAAACGATCTTAGTTTTCTAGTCGTTATTTCAGGAACATTCTTGATGTATGTGGGAGGGTAAATTTTCTTATGGTTTCCAAGAATTGTTTCTTGTTAGTAATAGTTTGTTTAATTCGAATTTAAACATTCTGTCTGATGAAATAATGAGAGTATGCATTTTTCTTAAAAGTAGTTAATAAATACTTCTGTTCTATTCTCTTTAGAACTGAAGTGTTCTAGTGTGTTTCAACTCCTTAGAATAGTATTCGTACGCAGTTTCTTTTTGTCTGCTGTTGGATTATTCTGTTGTAGTTGAGTATTCAGTCTGTATAATTTTCTCTTGACTAAGACATCTAAGGAATGAATCTTACTGCCTTCTGATCCTTTGTTCCGTGTGAATTTGATGTCTGAAAATGCGTTGTTGATTCATTTGTGAGTGTTTTCTAAATCATTTTGTCTAATCGTAATCAATATATTACCTACTTAACATATCTAGGGTTTTGGTGTGATCATTGGTACAGCTACGCTTTTGAAGTGAGGACAGGAGTAAGACAAGGCTGTCTACTATCACTGATTATATTCTAGATTGTTAGACTGGATTATGCGGCAGGCCGTGGGGAGCCAAAAGACAAGCATATGTTGGATCGACGAGAAGAATCTAGGAAACATGGATTTTGCGGACGATTCACCTCTATTATCACACTTACTCAAACATCTGCAGACGAGAACAAGCAAGTTAGCATAAGAAACAGCGAAGACAGGACTTCAAGTGAACATGCAGAAAATGTAGTTGGTTGAGATACGTAACGAACAACAACAAGAAACAATCACCATCAGAAATCTGAAGAAAGTCACTTCTTCCAATTTCCCAGATAGCACGAATGAAGATGTCAAAGCCAAGATCGGAAAGGCAAGACAGATCTCCATTAATCTGAAGTCCTCGTGGAATCCTACGGCAATCATCACAAGTAATTTGATCCGGATCTCCAGCACCAATTTTGAAATAATACCTCTACATGGTTCATATACTTAGTCCACGTGTCATCTAAAGTATTTTCAACAGCTTACTGCAGACTTCCGTAACACATCTGTCTTCGTCTCATGCTGAAATTCAGATGACCTGGAAGGGTTAGCAACAAAGAATCCCATTAGTGAATCAACCAAGAACCTATCGCCCGAAACTCATATGGCTATAAATGGAGATGGATTGGATATACACTGAGGATATCTGTGAGTGATATCACGCGTCAGGCCGTCATTGGAACGCAGACGGAAAACGATGAGTTTGGCGTAGTTCCGACGATGACACAATAGGAGTTGAGAGTTTGTAGTCAATAGTGTAGGCGGCTGAAAATGACTATGGAAATTAAGATAAAATCGAGATGTGGTGTTGAAGCCGTATATTTCACTCCAAGCCTGTGAAAATAATAAAAATATAGATCTATCGTTTCCAGTCTCCGTCTCATAGCCTCATTAATTCTGTCTGTCTGTTTCCGACATAGAACTTTGCACAAATGTGCGGCAGTTCAAGTCCCACACTCCATGTAGCACGCGAAGCAAGAGGAGAAAGTACAAGAAAAGCATAATAGAAACAGTGAGCAGAGGTGTGAGACAAAGGAGTAATAAAGAAATACAAAACAGTTTCATTGAAGATCATAAGTCACAGGGAGTGAATGCATCTGCGCCACTGAGAACGGTTTTGAGCCATGTCACCAATTGTTTCCAACCATAGATTTTTACCGTCCCGAGGACCCCAGCCTAGAAGTCTACATCTTTCTACGTGGCTTAGACCAACTGTTGTGGATTTCATTGACTGGTGCCAAGTTTTTGTCTGACCGCCGCTAGCTTTTTTCCAGCCTGACCCTATATCCGCTAACATTGCTCGTCGAGGGAGGCTATGTTAGCCTCATTAATTGGTCTTGAAAGAAATCTCTTATATATATATATATATATATATATATATATATATATTATTAGGTCTACCAACTAAAGGAATTATTTTACTTGTATATTTCTTTTCCTACATGGTCAGTTATTTATTTGTTCTCAATGTAATACTTAACAAAGTTCATTTTCCATATTGTGAATAAACATTATATTGTTTGTAGTGAAAAACAAATGAAGAAAGCCTAATAATTCCTGTTATATAATTTTATACGCTTATCTCATTTTATTTTAGATTCAAATAACCCACGATTTTGGTCTTCACTGAGCTCTCTTCATAAGCTGATATTAGACATGGAGTTGTACCGACCTGGTGCTAGTACTGATCACATTTATGAAGATTCAATCATTTCTTTACTGTCTGAGGATGATTCACAACTTTTTCGTGCTTTGGATTTATGGATACAAATTGAAGATCGTGCAGTTTCTGTTGACAAGTAAGACTAGAATATGTGCTTCTTGAGATTTTCTGGATTTCTGTGTTGTATAGGAACAGTACAATGCTATTTATCTCACTATCTCTTTACTCAACATACTTATTGGGGCATAATAAGATTTCAAAAGCTGAATAAATATACCCTTAGACAGTTTATATTGTAACTGGTTGCAAAATAATCATGCTTATCGATTATTCCTCAGAAATTGGTTGATATTCGTACTGTGCTATCGGTTTGCATTAGTATTTTGTGTCGCACGCAACCCTTCAACGTATTGTACATTATATACATTTGAAATAAGCAGTTACCTGTAATACAAGAAAAGTGGAAAGTATAGTGTATCTGAGCTCTATTCAAAGTTGTTTCATATCAAAAACTGCATTATGATCTCAAATGTTAACAGTCCGTTTGATGATAGGAACCCCCATGTTATGATCTCATTCTCAATTGACATGAGCTCGTCGATAGTTGATATGACCAAGTGGACTTATACATGGCATTTAATAACAGACGCAATGGACAATTCAACTGAGATGCTAGATACGCCTATTCGTCCCTGTCTTCCGCTTCACCCGAGCCACGTAAATATCGAAAGACAAAGGCACTGGTTTGGGGCTATTAGGGTATGACTTTTTGAGGGAAAGAGCACATCATATTTATATATTTCTGACCACATTAAAATTTGGCTAAGGCAGTGGGAATCGGGTTGTTCTGATTTATAGTTGGTTGTTCCGGGACCAAGGTTGGAAAAAAACAATGAAATTTTAGTCATCCTATCACAAGATGAGTCACATGATGATCACTATTTCAGCCGCTTCCTATTATTCAACGTTCAAGTTTTCTGTTTATCTCGTTTATTAATAAGGGAATATCTGCATAAGTGTGGCTTTTTGAGTTATACGCTTGACTCTGTAGTTCAAACGCCGCTTCAACTAAATTACTTTCAAAATCAAGTGAACATTTGAAGCCTTCATATATAAGATGCGGCTTATAACCTAACTTGTAAGCATTGTAAGGAAATACTATTTGATATGTTGTAGCGTAGTAATTGACTTATTTATTCAATCGACTTTCGATTAATATAGAGCCAGGGAACACTAGGCGGCTGTTCCATCTATGTGTGGGACTCCTTATCAGTGCGTATCCATAACCTCACGTAGGGATCAAAACTGGAACCTTCAAATTACAAGGTGAACTCGTATATCACTCAACCAATGGAGTGGAATTCACTTCTAAGTCCTGCCAATTTGTGATATGGCGTCACCATCAGTTGGTGTCATTGGTGATTAACTGTTCTCCCACCGAACTTAGTGGTGCCCGCTTACCATGACTTTTGCATTAAAACTCCAGGTAGACGCATCCTGTAGTCAGTTACTAGTGAGCACAAATCGCTTTCCTTCTTGTATCTCTTCGGGTAAAACTAGAAGAGATTTCATAAGAATTTATGCATGTATAGCTAAATATCAAAATCCAAACTGTACGATATTTAGCACGGGTGATGTGTAAAGAGACAAATGTTAGCAAAGTGCTTAGAAACCCATTTTATGGTGTGTAAATAAACAGCAACTTATTACCGGTATTATTATTATTCCATATATTATTTTTCTGTTAACTTCAGTTTGTTACGTTTTCGCTATTTACACTGTTTACGTCATTTATTTATTTGTAAAAAGGAGATATGTACAACGCTGAAACTTCTATTCTGTCGAATTATTATTGTGTAGAGTTAAAGGCGATTGCTATTATTAGTATTAATAGATTGTCTAGGTAGCAAATCTGATTACTGAGTTAGAATGGACTAGTTGTGTTTCATTCTTTTTGCAGAGTCTTTGTAATATTTACTTGCCCTAGTTTAAGCATAATCTATATTCGACTCCAATGCTGAACAGATGCAATGTAACAAGAAACTAATTTGTTATGAAAAGTAGGTTAACATAAATTAACACGTAAAACAGCTTTTCCATTTTTTTTTTTTGAAGTATTCATGAATTGCTTTCTCAATTAAAACTTCTCTCTATTCATTATTACAGGTTATCCAATAAAACTTCTATCAATTCTATTCCCAATGCTCACTGGTTATTTGCATCATTAGCAAAATGTATTGATTTTTCATCCTATCTGTTTGTTGATTGGTTGATTTCGCCTGAAACGACTTGCTTATCTTATTTAGTACATTATCTAAGACGAATATGTGCTGAAAATCAAAATGTTCATCAACGTTTAGAATATTCTTTGAAAAATGCAATTCTGTTCAATTCATGGCCATTAGAACAATTAACAAATATGTTAGTCAAATTGCCAAATGTCTTAAAACATTAAATGAAAGTGAAGCGATTGCATTTTGTCCAAAACCACTTATTAATCGTATTAATTATTGTTTATTTATTTTGAATAATATTTCTAGAGTACAGAATAACACTGATACATTAACTCCTTCCAGATAATATTCTTCATTTACTGTATAAAACTGAATATTTAATTTTTTTTATTTTGAATTGAATAATTTTGATATTTCAATAAAAGAAACTGTTTCTCAGTATTCTTTGTGTTATAATCGAAGATCATGTTCGTCTCTCTAGACTTTATCATGGGCATTATGTTTGACTGGAACTTCTGTAATATTTATTTTACATTACCTTACATCATAATTGTAATATGTGCAGTAGTTCCACTAGGTATTTGATACGAAACTTACTCGGTTCGAGATTCAAGTTATATCACGCTTGAATGTTCACTGTTGACGATTAATATATGTGTAAAACTTGGGCACTGTGGTAGTAAGTAATCCCATATTAGTTTGTTTATTAGATGTAGCACACAATGAAACAGTATTATTATTACCTGGATGACGTTTCGAACAAAACTTATTCTTCATAATCATAACAATTGTGGTCACACGACTTTAAGATTTGAGTTTTATAGTTTTCTTTGTTCCCTCTTATTTGTCCTATGGGCAGTAGAATTTTCCAGATATCAGGGACAGTTGATGAATCATTCCTATAACATGTATTTGCAGTTGATTCAATAAACAAAGCTTCTTTTATCAATCTCTCCCTTTACCGTGACATTAGATTTTAAAACTGTCATCCTATCCCATCCTATTGTATGGTTGTGTGTAACTGCATGTAGTAAGTGGTATAGCTGAACTATTCTCTAGATTTCTTATTTTATTTGGGTCAACCAATCTAGATTTTGCAAGGTTTTTATGTTCGGCTAGTCTGACTGCACCTGTTCTACTACTCTGACCTATGCATTTGACCTCACAATCATTCCATCAGGATAATAGATAAACTAAATTGTTTTATTTTAAAGGCTCTACAGGATCCTTTAACCGACAAAGCTTGTTTCTAATTGAGTTTGTGGGTTTGAATGCCACTTTTATTCCTGCCTTGTTAAGAATTCTGCGTAAGGTTTCTGAGGTTCCTTCCTTGTATGGAATTACTGTTGATGATTTAGCTTCCTTATTGTTGGTGTCGTCATTAATATTATTATTATCACAATTATTATTACCATTATTATTATTATCACTATCACTATTACCATTTTTTATTTTTACATTTACTTACATATTTCTTGACTAATTTATCCGGGTAATTATTAAGTTTCAAGGCTTCTTTTATGTGTATCACTTCCTGTCTTAGATTTTCCTTGGTACTACTTAGTTTTTGTGCTCTGTCATTTAAACATTTCACTAATCCTATTTTTACTGACATAGGATGGGATGATCGGAAATCCAAATATCTGTTTGAACGTGTGGGTTTTCTGTAAACACTAGTGTTGACGATTATTATAACCACCTATACTACGCAGAATAAAGTCACAAACCTTATCGTTTCACTCAAACTTGCTGACTTTGCTTCCCTGACGTATAGTTTCCACCATAAATTGCGTAACTTTGCTTAATTTTCATGCATTAAAACCTGTCAGTGTATTTCGCCTTCCCATTTCCGGTTAAGTTCGGTGCAGATAAAATCACACGTAATATTTTCCGGACTCTGACAGTGGTCTGTACGCTAATATAGCAACCTGTTCACTTTGAAACATGTCACGAGAATAGAATTTAAACTTCACAATGGATTGATTGGAAGGCAAGTGCTTGAATTTCAGCTTTGTAACTGGAATTGTCACCTCTTAGAAATCGCTAGCTTGTTTGCGGAATTAGCGTTTCCTGACACAACACTGCTTTCGACCAGTAACAGTTATGATCAGCTGGATACAGCATCTTAAAAACTTACAGCTCCACACAACAGTTAGCACAGCTATTTTTATTTTATACACAGCTAAGACCTATGTTAGTATCCCAACAGCCCGACAGAAAAGGTAATAGCGATAACTTAAGTCAAGATGAACAGACAAATACCAGCGGTATACTCCCACCACCTAACTCAATTGTTTTATGACATGGCACAGTATCACCCAGTTTCCGATTAGTGAGGTCATACGCTGAATTACCATTCACGCGATGTCTTTAGGAAGTACTTTCAGATTGTGTAAAAGCTCACACCCCTCCATATAAGTTCACAACACTCTGATACCCTCATGACATATTTTAAGTAACTACGTCATACTAAAGACCAAGATGGAATTGATTTGCATGTATCTCTGGGCTGAAAGCATACTGCAATCGCTCGCAACTCTTCGGTGATTTCAACAAATTGACGTGTGTACTTATTCTGGAGTCATAGGATGAATTTCACAATCTAGCCTCAAGTTGTATAAGTGACTTGTGGAAAAGAGTATGTCTGTTGGAGTGACATATGATTGCCTTTGAACACAGTTTGCTTAATCCCAACACATTTCCCGAAGTAATATAATAAGTGTAGTATATATATTTCTCACACACTGTAAGAAAGTCGTTGCAATGCATATATGCCGAGAACTTTTAGAAAAAAGGACAAATCAGTGCACTACATGTGCACATAAAACTTCGCCGATATATGAGATGTGGGTGATCAATTTAGGTTCTCGACTACCGTCAAGCCTACTCCAGGCTGGATGAGTGACAAATATCATGGCTTCACACAAGATAATCATGACTAAGCATGAAACGAACATTTTCAGACTAATTCACTGAATCCATTTGGAAAAGTAAGTGACAAAGTATACGAAAATCAGATCAAGAATTACACACACCCCATTATCTACTAAGGAAAAACTTATTGTTTGCTAATTGTTTTTGCTCACACTGGTTATCTCAGTAGTACATATATATATATATATATATATATATATATATATATATATATATGCAAAATTCTAAAACCTTATCTAATGGCTTTTCCAAACACCATTCACATAACTCTACAAACAACGCGCGCAGAGGTATGCACCACGACTGCTACATCAAAACTGGAGAATAGTACCTGTCTCCTCGCAATTGCGTACGCTCACTATTTCACAACCCTGAGACTTCTTGAAACTATATTTCGAACTCTCCCGACCGAAAGCTGCTACCTTGACGTGGTGGTCGGGCTTGAACACCGCAATGACCTAATCAAGCTATACTGGCTGAGACTTATGTCTCTTGAGGTCCTACCATGCCAGGCAGGTTGTTTGGATAGCGGTTAAACAAAAAGCAGCTACCCAATCCAATACTACGATACAAACAAACAAAATATCATGCCGGATCGGCCGTGGCCCGGATTAACAACGACCGCGCTTCCTGCTGCCGTGTCACAGGGCAGGAGTGATAAATATGCTACTGAGACACACCAAACAAAAAGAACAAACAAAAACAGGCCGCGTGTGACCGGCCTCAAGCAGTTGTCCCCTGGGCTCTGCGGTCACGCAACCAACTTCCACGGTGTGGGCAGCCGGGAAGTAACAATCGCCCTCACAATCCGAAATGCACACGAAACCTCTATAATCCTCACTCATCTTTGTCTTCATCATCTCTATTACCTTGCCTTCCTTCCACTGATGCAACTCCTCTACTTGATGGCTCTCACTCCCTCTTCACTCTGTGTCCACTAAAAACGACGGAAGCCAAAAAACCACCACCGATAGTCTCCTAAAGCCACGCCACCAATTTCATATAGGAGCATTTAATGTTAGGACACTTTGCCAAATAGGACAACAAGCATCACTAGCCAAGACCCTGGCATCCCAGCCATTGATGTATGTTGTGTTTCAGAAACACGCATACAAGACCCAAGTGTGGTTATTCACCTGGCCAACAGGATGAATCTGCAAAATTCACCTTGAGGGTGTCAGGAGATGCCACAGCTAGTTCACGAGGATTAGCTGGTGTAGGGATAGCTTTGAGTACTAGGGCAGAAAAGACATTGCTTGACTGGATCCCGGTAGATAGCCGAATGTGTGCTGTCCGTCTGAACGGATCAGTAAAAAGGAAAAGGACTGCACTACTCGCCGATGCCTTTTCGTAATCTCCGCCTACGCCCCCACTGACTGCAGTTCAGATGAAACGAAGGATGAGTTCTACCAAAAGCTGTCTAGTTTGGTGCGAAAGGCTAAACGCTCAGATATAGTCGTTCTAGCTGGTGACTTTAACGCTCAAGTAGGGAAATTGTGTCAATCTGAGAAGGATGTCGGTGGCACCTATGGAGCTCCGTGCCAGCGAACCGACAACGGTGACCGTCTCCTACAGTTCTGTTCAGATAATCATTTGTTTCTTGTAAGCACTAACTTCAAACACAAGGAGAGACTCTTTTGACCTGGCGACCCCCATCATCAAACCAACGCTGGACACAAATAGACCACATAGCAATAAGCTATCGTTGGCGTGGGTCGGTAGGAGATTGTCGCTCCTTCTGGAACACGTGTGTAGATACCGATCACGCACTGGTCCGCGCTCGGGTGTGCTTACGACTGAACGGACGTAGGAAACAGCTGGCGGTAAAACCATCACGTCCCCAGCTCGATCAGGAAACTAAATCCCTATTTGAGGAAGAACTAGCTAAGCACATATCTATGTTCGACAGCTGTGCTCACCCTGAAGAAGCTTGGAAGAATAAAGTAAACCCTAAGGTGAGTAAAAACCATTGGATTTCGACTGCCTCATCCGAACTGATAGATGCTAGAAGACTTATTCCGGCGATCTCTGGATTCAATGAGGAGCGAAAGCTGCACAAAAGGAAACTTACGAAAAGTCTCCGGCGCCATAATTAGCTCCCAGGATAGACGACTGGAACGCTGGAAAGAGCACTATGAGGAGCAGTTTAATTGGCCTACAGCCATGCTCAACCTGCCGAACATCCAACACCTCCCTCAATGGGATATAGACACAGGTCCTCCATCCCTAACTGAGGTTACTAAAGCTGTCACTAGTCTGAAACAAGGCAAAGCAGCGGGACCTGATG